TGGCGCCCAGGCGCGGGACCGGGTGGGGGGCCTAGGGTGTACTGGGCTTACCGGCCGGAGCCAACTAGTTATAGACTCGGGCTCCACGCCCGAGAGGGTTAAACCTTTTTTCATGTTACCGAGCGGCTTATAAGGAGGGGGAGGCCAAGCCTCCGCCTTATTGAGAGCCTTTGGGGGTTTATTCTCTTCCCTTCTAACTTGGTGAGTTGGTTTTAATATTTTACACGTTTAAAAGTTTGATTGTGGGGGGTGGGTGGTTTTTTTTTTTAATAATACGTGTGTGTTGGGGCCTTTTGGGGGGGAGGGCGGAAAGGCAGAGGAAACCCCTTCACATTGGATCATTTCTGGGGAGCTTATTCCGAAGATATTCTCTGTGACACTTGGCAGAACCCGGGCCACCGGGAGGACGCGCTCTCGGCAGCGTGGGCCGCGGAGAGAGTGGAAACCAACCCTAACCTGGTACCGCTGGGGTCCGGGAAATAACGCCTCACCGCCCCGATCCGGCCGTGGCTGGCCCCTCACCAGGCTGCTGAGGAGACTCGCCATCGGAGGGGGTGCTCAGCTCCTCTTTGGGTTTTTTTTTCTTTATTTTTTTTGCATGAAGTTCCCTGCGCGTCACTAGAGCGAAATGTCAGGTTCCTTCCTCGCTCGCTCGCGCGCGCGCGCGCACACACGCCAGGCGACCACTGAGGCACATGCCGGGAAAGTGGGGTTCCCTGGGTCGATCCTACCTCAACCCCGTCCCCGGGGTGCCCCCCCCCACATACACACACGAGACGCCCCTGCCCTCCCGGGAAGGCGAGATTTCCTGACAGATCGCGGGTCCTTTACACCTCGACCGACGCCCCCTGTCAAGCGGCTGACCGCGGGGTCCCGCGCAACTTCCCAGCTTCCCGGGGCTGCGCAGCCCGGGGGAAGCGCCGGGTGTTGCTGAGCCGCGCGGTCGTGCGAGGTTTGGCGGGCGGAGGAAGTGGGTTATTTCCTCCAGGGTTGTTTTTCTTATCTTCCACCCCCCGGGCCAGGCAGGTGAGAAGGGGTTTTGCTAAGTGGCAAGTAAAAAAAAAAAAAAAATGTCTCCAGAACTGGGTGGAGGGCGTCAGCCTTAGGAAAAGCTGTCAGTGAAGAACAGCCATGAAAACTTGTCCACCTGGAAGCCAGGTTCTGTTTCCACAGATTGTGCCAGCTCTTCTCTGAAGTTGTTTTGTTTTTACCGTGGTGTTAAGGGAGACTTTTCTGTGATCTGAACTGCTTTTGTACAATCATGATAAGGAAGGTGTCTGGTTGAAGAAGAAAAGCCAGATCTTACATCTCTTGTGATCTCTCTCTGTCTCACACACTACTTACTGTGTAGCTTTTTGGGGGGTGGAGGGGAACCAACAACACAGGAGGTGGATGACTACGGGAGAAACACCTCTTGTGATTAAGATAAGGGGCATCTGTCCAAGATAGAAACTGAGGGTATGTAAATAAAACAGTGCAACCAAGTGGAAAAAAGTCCTGTCTTAATGAGTACCACGAATCCTGAGTTGTTCCTCCTGTGGTTTCAAAAAAAGCAGGACTTTTTTTCCTCAGTGGAACTCCTGAGGAGGACACTTAAATTAGGGGCTTGGGTTTCAACATCATGCTCTTGCAAAAGCCAGCCGCTGAGTTGGTGGTAGACAATGACTCCATGCTGTCTCAGCAGCCTCCAGGTTAGATTTGGACTTTTTTTTAACTAAAGAATTCAAATGAACTTTACCCACCTACTGACTGGTTTGGACAACTGGGGCCAGAGACAACTTGTCTAAAGCTGTTGCGCTTACGCTCTGCCTGTATACCATGGAAGCCTGTGTACTGAACTTTGCTCTGAGCTGACTCTGGACTGACCTGAGATGGTGTATAATCGATATTCTTCTGCCCTCAGAGCTAATAGTTTCTCACCAAGTTAAATCTCAGTGAAAATCTAGGTAGAACAGATCTCCAAGTCTTGGCAAACTACCCATTTATTCAAAGGAACACTGTTTTGTTTTCTTGTTTGTTTCCTCCTTTTGAGACAGGGTCTCAAAGTAGCCCAGGCTATGCTGAAATTTGCTGGCCCCTTTGGCCCTTTTCTTCCTTTCCTCCCCCCATACTTGGACCGTGTGTGTGTGTGTGTGTGTGTGTGTGTGTGTGTGTGTGTGTGTGTTGCCTTTGTCTTTCTTGCTATTGTTATTTGGGGTTTACTTTTATTTTCTCCCCCCTCATTTTTTTTAAACCAAAACCAAGCTTACTCAAGGAGAAATTCAGCACAGGCTACTACTACAGAGTAACTAACTCCCTTCCCCATATTGTGACGATGTATACAAGGCCTAAAAATCAAAGCTATAGAAGTGATAACTAGGCAGATTTGTGTGATGCTATCTCATTTAGCACTGAGATATCCCACCAGCACCCCTCACCTGGGATAACCCCTGTCACCAACACTGAGAGGGGTTTTGTTTTCTGTTAATCTTGATAGGTTCTCTCTCTCTCTCTCTCTCTCTCTCACACACACACACACACACACACTTCCTCATCTTGAGTGACTTGGGAAGGCTGTTTTGAAGCGATCCTGGCTCCTATCTTAGATGGATTGCTGCTTTCCGGGTCAGGGGACATTAATGACCATCCTGGGCTGCTCAGCCTCCAGCCTGAGCTATTTCCCATTCCCTTCTATCTCTCCATTTGTTCCCAGTCATGGTGTCTGACATTACCATACCAAGCATAGGCTTTTTTGTTGTTGTTGTTGTTGTTGTTGTTGGTCGTGAGGCCTGAACTCTGGGCCTGAGCACTGTTCCTGGGCTCTTCAGCTTAAGGCTAGCGCTCTACTACTTGAACCACAGTGCCACTTCTGGCTTTTTCTGTTTATGTGGTGCTGAGGAATTGATTCCAGGGCCTCATGCATGCAAGGCAAGCACTCTATCACTAAGCTACCTTCCCAACCCCAAGCATAAGCTTCTTAAAGCATCTTAGGCTCTCTTTCACTCAGCCAAATATTTAAACAGAGTCTAAAATGGGTATAGCCCTTCCCAAGTACTGGGTTACTGTGGGAAGGAGGTTATCAAGAGGATGGATGATACTATACTGGATTGATGAATTGCTGTTCAAGATTTATAATGTGAATCCAAGACATGGATGAACTGTCATCCCTGTGGAATTTTCTGTTGCTCTCCATTAGTAATAAAACCTTTGCCTTGCCAGGCATGGCATTTGGGAGGTTGAGATAGTAGACTTAAGAGTTCAAGGCAGCTGGGCGCCAGTGGCTTACATCTGTAATCCTAGCTACTCAGGAAGATGAGATCTGAGGATCATGGTTCAAAGCCAGCCTAGGCAGGAAAGTCTTGAGACTCTTATCTCCAATAAACCACTCAGAAAACTAGAAGTGGTGCTGTGGCTCAGGTAGTAGAGTGCTGGCCTTGAGCTGAAGAGCTGAGGGACAGCACCAAGGCCCAGAGTTCAAGCCCCATGACCACAAAAAAAAAAGAAAGAAAGAAAAAAAGAGTTCAAGGCCAAGTCAGGCTCCAGTGGCTCATGCCAGTATCCCTAACTACTCAGGAGACTGACCTCTGAGGATCACAGTTTGAAGACAGGCCAGGCAGGAAAGTCCATAAGACCACCAAAAATCTCCAGTTAACCACCAAAAAGCCAGAAGTAGAGATGTAGTTCAAGTGCTAGAGCACTAACCTTAAGCAAAAAAAGTCCTGAGTTCAAGGCCTAGGACCAGCACAGAAAAAGAAGAGGAAGAGGAGGAAAAGCTCTGAGACCATGGGTTTCTTATTATGTGGATTTATTATTATTTCACAGTATTATATATATCATTAAATATTAGTTGGGCTGAACATATCTATAGCTACGTTTGAAAAGATATGCAACTGCAGAAATTTTGCCATATTCATGTAATCCAGCCCAATCAATAAGATTTTAGCTGGGTGCCAGTGGCTCACGCCTGTAATCCTAGCTACTCAGGAGGCTGAGATCTGAGGATCTCAGTTCAAAGCCAGCCTGGGCAGGAAAGTCCGTGAGACTCTTATCTCCAATAAACCACTAGAAAACTGGAAGTGGCGTTGTGGCTCAAGTGGTAGAGCACTAGCCTTGAGCTGAAGAGAGCAGGGACAGGGCCCAAACCCAGAGTTCAGACCCTACGACTGACAAAAAAAAAAAAAAAAAAGACTTCAGTAAAGCCAGCTTCCCTCTGGGGTTCAATAGACTGTCTACTCTTAGTGGTGTCATGGCTCATATCTGCTCATTCTGATGTTTCTTATCATTTGAATGAGAAGGCATAGTGAGGTCAGAGGTACTTTGATTGAGTTTACCAGGAGCCAGATAGGGACTTGAGGTTTGAAGTGCCTCATTTATCACTGTATTCTGGCTTGTCTTAGACCAGAAACCCAAGGCACATTGTGGCAGTCACCTTTGAGGAAGTAATGCTCAGCAAACGACAGAAGTCTCATGTTGTAACTTAATAGTTTACCTTCTGTGCATGTAGGTACGCCTACATGGCACACTAAAATCAAAATCAGAATGTTGCTTACTGAGTGGCAAATGGGAACAGGAAGGGTTAGATGGATTGTCACTGGCCAGTAACCCAGGCACCTGTCCCATAGAAGGTGAGACACGTCAGTGCTAACCCTCCAGCTTCCCTTTTCTAGGCTTTTCTGATTACCATTCCTATGGTCCATCTAGTTTCTCTTCATTTAAGGAAGGTGGTCTTCTTCACCATCAGTAGGAATACTGGGTTTAGTGGCTATTCTGGGTCCAGGGTTGTGCTCTGATTCCTTGTGTTGCTGGCTGGTTTATCCCATCCATCACAGGGAAGTCTTCCAGGTTCTTTGTGGCTCCCATGTATAATTCAAAGGTAGATACAAAAACTTATCTATAAACTATGTATGATTTAAATATCCAGCAACCTAAGAAGTATGGAAGTAACTCTGCTGTATGTTTGTTGAATCCTCCATTCTCGTGCTATTAGCAATTCTGAAATCTTTTTCCAAATCTTTTTATTTCAGATTAAGAATGACCCAAAAGAAATCAAAACTTTGTTCCACAGTCAATGTGTATACTCAAGTGCCTGATGGAGGATGGGGCTGGGTAGTAGCTGTTTCTTTTTTCTTCATTGAAGTCTTCACCTATGGCATCATCAAGTCATTTGGTGTCTTTTTTACCGACTTAATGGAAGTTTTTAATGAATCCAACAGTAGGATCTCGTGGATCATATCAATATGTGTGTTCGTCTTAACATTTACAGGTGAGTACATCTTCCAGCCCAACCAGAATTGGGATGCCCGGCCCTTTCCTGCTATTATGACAGCAGTGTGTTTGTGATACATTCTCTTACATGCCCTGCTGGCCCATTCCAGCCTCCATTAAGGAATATAATGTTCAGAGGACGGAGTGATAAGCAATGAGACACTGAAGAAAGAGCCCTGGTGAGCCAGGCATGGTTGGTTCATGCCTGTAAGCCCAGCCCTTGGAAGGCTAAGGCAGGAGTATTGTGAGTTTGAGGGTGGGCTTCAAATCATGATCCTCCAGGTCTCTGCCTCCTCCTCTGTAGCTACGATTACAGGCCTGAGCCACCAGTGCCCAGCTTCAAAAACGAAAGTTCTAGCTGGGCGCTGGTGGCTCACGCCTGTAATCCTAGCTACTCAGGAGGCTGAGATCTGAGGATCGCGGTTCAAAGCCAGCCCGGGCAGGAGAGACTGTGAGACTCCTATCTCCAATAAATCACCAGAAAACCGGAAGTGGCGCTGTAGCTCAAGTGGTAGAGTGCTCACCTTGAGCTGAAGAGCTGAGGGACAGCGCCCAGGCCCAGAGTTCAAGCCCCACGACTGACCAAAAAAAAACAAAAGTTCTTTTAAAAAAGAATCCAGCCGAGTGCTGGAGGGTCACGCCTGTCACCCTAGCTACTCAGGAAGCTGAGATCTGAGAATCACTGTTCAAAGCCAGCCCGGACAAGGAAAGTCCGTGAGACTCATCTCCAATAAACTACTCAGAAAACAGGAAGTGGCACTGTGGCTCAAGTGGTAGAGCAGTTGCCTTCAGCTGAAGAGCTCAGGGACAGCGCCCAGGCCCAGAGTTCAAGCCCCACGACCACCAAAAAAGAAAGAAAGAAAGAATCCAAAATGGAGTGCCTCACCCCTATAATCCTAGCTACTCAAGAGGCTGAGAATCACAGTCTGAAGCCAGCCGGGGCAGACAAATCTAAGAAACAGATTTTTATTTCTAAGTAAACAGCAAAAGAGTCCAAAGTGGAGAGTTGGTACAAGCGATTGCATGCCAGCTCTTGAGTTCAAGCCCTAGTATGGGAGGAGGGGGGGTGAAGAGGGGGGGATGGGAGGAAGGGGGGTGAAGAGGGGAGATGCAGTGTATAGGGAGAAGAAAACACAAGCAATCATAGGAAAATAGGAAAAGTGGTATATACATAATTTTGTAGATACTCATGGAGATCTCTCACCTAAAAATATAGACAGAAGTTTCATACTCTTTCCCCCACCATGCCCCTCAATCACCTCTCTCTCTCTCTCTCTCTCTCTCTGGAATCAAACCCATGTGCTCTGGGGTCCTGGGTTACCACTGAGTTACACCTCTAGCCCCTTGTCTCATTAAAGAGCTCCAAGAATCTCAGCTCTTTTGAACTTATTCAGTAGCTACTGTATGCAGGTCGGGCATAGTCCCTCAGGGTCAAGACTTGCAGGAAGGACTCACTCTGTTCCTTTTCCCACAGCACCCCTGTCCACAGTCCTGAGCAATCGCTTCGGACACCGGTTGGTGGTGATGGCAGGAGGGCTGCTGGTCAGCACTGGGATGGTAGCGGCCTCCTTCGCACAAAAAGTTTACCATATGTACATCTTCATTGGGGTCATCTCAGGTGAGTGCCTGCCTGGGCTGGAGCTCTCTACATGGAAGGGGAGGGGAGGACAAGGGGAAGGGAGGACGGCAGGGGAGCTATGGGGAGGGAAGAAAACTAAGCTCAGATTGTAGTTTAGAATAAGTAATGTGTGTGGGTCAATGGCTTTAAACTAGACAACATGGACTAGTTTAAATGTAATATGTATGTGTATTTTCAAATGCCCAAATGTTTTGCTATGATGCGTATGTGTGTGTGTGCGCATGCGTGTGCACGTACCTGTGTGTGCCGCTCCTGACTCTACCACTTGAGCTACAGCTCCACTTCTGGCTTTTTTTTTTTTGGTTAATCGGAGGTAAGAGTCTCTTGGGCTTTCCTGCCCAGTCTGGCTTTGAACCTCAGTCCTCAGATCTCAGCCTCCTGAGTATCTAGGATTATAGGCATGAGCCACTAATGCCCAGCTTGATTGTGTGTGTTGGGAAGAATTGTTGTGACTTGAACTCCGAGCCTCAAGCTTACTAGGTGGGCACTGTACCACATGAGTTATACCTCAAAGCCCAGTTGTGGTGGTGATTTTTTTGTTTGTTTGTTTGGCCAGTCCTGGGGCCTGAGCACCATCCCTGAGCTTCTTTTTGCTAAAGGCTGGCACTCTACCACTTGAGCCACAGCGCCTCTTCTGGCTTTTTTCTGTTTATGTGGTGCCGAGAAATTGAACCCAAGACTTTGTGCATGCTAGGCAAGCACTCTACCATTAAGCCACATTCCCAGCCTGGTGATTATTTTTAGATCAAGTCCTGCAAATATTTCTGCTAGACTAGCCTCTAACCACAATTCTTCCTCTCTCAGCCTCCCAATTAGCTAGGATTACAAGCATGAGCCACCATCACTCAGTTTGATTTGTTTTTAAACACATGTATCAGTGATGTGGGTAACTTCCCTTTTATTCTAGTTTGTAGCCAGAAAGAATTTTTTTTTTTTTTTTTACCAACTAGGACTAGTTTCTTTGCCAGTATTTTTCAACTCAAGAATCTAAGGCTTAAAAAAGAGAAACTTCTCTGAAGAGGAAAGAAGGATGGCCAATAGACACATGCAGAAATGCTCAACCTCCCTCACCATAAAAGAAATGCAAATCAAAACAACATTGAGATACCACCTCACCCCAGTTAGAATGGCTAGAATCAAGAACTCGTAATAACAATAGATGCTGGAGGGGATGTGGACAGAAGGGAACCCTACCGCATTGTTGGTGGGAGTGTAAACTTATTCAACCACTTTGGAAAGCAGTATGGAGATTCCTCAAAAGACTCCACATAGAGCTCCCCTATGACCCAGCAATCCCACTTTTGGGCATTTACCCAAATGATCACAAACAAGACCATACTAAAGCTACCAGCACAACTATGTTTACTGCAGCATTATGTACCATAGCTAAGATATGGAAGCAACTCAGATGCCCCTCAGTAGATGAATGGATCAAGAAAATGTGGTATATATACACAATGGAATTCTATGCCTCCATCAGAAAGAATGGCATTGCCCCATTTATTAGGAAATGGAAAGACTTGGAAAAAATTATATTAAGTGTAGTAAGCCAGGCCCAAAGAAACATAGGTCCCATGGTTTCCCTTATTTGCGATAACTAGTATATGTCTGAGACAAGTAGAAAAGGTCAGATAAGTTGATGTTAAGTGAAATGAACCCCAAGTTAAGGACTCAATTTTTTTTCATTCTTGCTATTATATCTAGCATATTTATAAGATATTTCTTTGTTGCTTTGTATGTCCCTACCCCATGGTGTACGTTTTCACTGTATTTGATGTTGGTATAATTTGTGGAGGGGAAGGGAGAAAAAAAAACAAATCATTTAAATAGGGATACAGGTGGACCCATTGCACCAATGAGATGTACAAGATGTTACGTCAAAAATGAACTTGACAACTTTGGTGTGGGGGGGTGGGTGTAGGGGGGAGATTGGAAGGAATGGGAAGAGGAATCAAAGGAGGAAGCAACAATGCTTGATAAGAAATGCACTCATTACCTTGCCCATATAATTGAAACCCCTCTGTACAGTATTTTCACAATTAAAAAAAAAATCTAAAGCTCCAAGGCTGGGCTTGTTCTTAGGGAATCTAACAAAACATGTTTCCATTTGAAAGGAGTTTTTACAGGTAGGTATGGTAACACAAGCCTGTAATCCCAGAACTCAGTAAGCTGAGGTCAGTCTGGGATATAAAATAATTAAATAGGTGTTATTTACATACGTATGTATGTATAGATATACATATATACATAAAGTTAAAATCTCATACTTTATAATTTTCATGAAAGTTTGATACTTATCAAGACTTATTTCTATATGCAAGTCTTACATAAACACTATAGGTGAGCTGGGCACTGGTGGCTCATGACTGTAATCCTAGCTACTCAGGAGGCTGAGATCTGAGGATCATAGTTCAAAGCCAGCCCAGGCAGGAAAGTCCATGAGACTCTTATCTCCAATGAACCATCAGAAAACTGGAATGGCGCTGTGGCTCAAGTGGTAGAACACTAGCCTTGAGCTGAAGAGCTGAGGGACAGTGAGTGCCCAGGATCAGAGTTCAAGCCCCATGACCAACACACACACAAAAAAACAAAAAACAAAAAAAAAACAACCCAACTATAGGTAATAATATTTTTGTTCAGAACTTTTTTTTTTAAGTTTTCGTACTTCTAGGAACTCAAAACAGCAGTTGTAGTCTATCCTAGTCCATAGAGAAACTCATTTTCTTGGCTATATCGTGTTTTTCCAGAATGAATTGCTTGGCCTGCAGAATTTAGGTTTCATGACACACACTGCAAAGAATCCCTAGCCTCAATCATTCTCACTCTAGAGATGTAGAAAAAGTATAAGCTAGTTGGATATCAGTGACTCACACCTGTAATCTTAGCTACTTTGGAGACTTAAGAATAGGAGGATCAAAGTTCAAGCTAGCTAGTACAAAATTGGTTGAGACCCCATCTCAATCCATAGCTGGGTACAGTGACGTGTACCTGTGCTAAACTACATGAGAGGCTGAGATTGGGAGGATTGAGGTTCCAGGCCAGTCCAGGAAGAAAAATCTGAAAGACTCCTCCATGGATGGAAGCCAGACATGGTGGCATGTACCTGTCATTCCAGCTATGATGGGAAGCCTAAAATAGGCGGATCATAGTCCAGGCACAAACCCAGATGAGAAACCAGACACCATCTCAAATATTAGCCCATTAAAAAAAAACAAAACAGAACTAGAGGTGTGGCTTGGTACCCACCTGTCAAATCCAAGGCCCTAAATTTGAACCCCAGTAAGCCCCACTCCATACACACACATTCCCCATCAGTAGATGTATCTTTCCAGGATGAATGCGCATGTGTCCTTACTGTCTGTTTTGGCTTGTGTGTACAGGTTTCGGATACTGTTTCAGTTTTCTCCCAACTGTCACGATTCTGTCGCAGTACTTTGACAAGAGACGCTCAGTAGTCACCGCCGTTGCTTCTACAGGAGAATGCTTCGCTGTATTTGCGTTTGCACCAGGTTGGTGGGCAATGATAGTCTTTATATAGTCACTTGAGCAGAGGAGCCAGGCTGAGGTCCTGCTACATTAACCATGGTCAGCAGCATGCATACTTTTGACCATCTGACTAACAAAAGGGCACTGCCTTCTCCTTGGTACTTTTTTCTTTTTCTTTCTTTCTTTTTTTTTTTTTTTGGTCAGTTATGGGGCTTGAACTCAGGGCCTGGGCATTGTCCCTGAGCCTCTTTGTGCTCAAGGCTAGCGCCCTACCACTTTGAGCCACAGCTCCACTTCCAGTTTCTGATGGTTAATTGGAAATAAGAGTCTCATGGGTTTTACTGCCAGGACTAGCTTCAAACCATGACCCTCAGATCTTAGCCTCCTGAGTAGTTAGGATTATTGGCATGAACCACACCAGTGCTCAGCTCCTCAGCACATTTTTAGGCTCTATCCCCCTAAAAACCATTTTTATCTTAGTCCAAGTTTAACATGAACAGGGAGGTACATGGTTCCTATTCAGTATAACACTTTCTTGAAATATGCAAAATTAACTCCACATTAATTCAATGATTGGAATCATTCCTATTATTATTCCTCTCTTTTCAAAAGACTTCTATTCACTGTGGGATTGAGTTATGCCGATAACGCCAGTTTTCTTAATATTTGAGTGGTTGACCTCAGCAATTTTGTTATTTATTTTTTATTTTTTGTCGGTCATGGGGCCTGAACTCTGGGCCTGGACACTGTTCCTCAGCTCTTCAGCTCAGGGCTAGCACCCTACCACTTGAGCCACAGCCCCACTTCCGGCTTTTTCTGCTTATGTGGTGCTGAGGAATCGAACCCAGGGCCTCATGCATGCAAGGTAAGCGCTCTACCACTGAGCCACCTTCCCAGCCCTTTCAGCAAAATTTTTTTTTTTTTTTGGTCGGCCGTGGGGCTTGAACTCTGGGCCTGGGCGCTGTCCTTCAGCTCTTCAGCTCAAGGCGAGCGCTCTACCACTTGAGCCTTCCGGTTTTCTGGTGATTTATTGGAGATAGGAGTCTCACAGTCTCTCCTGCCCGAGCTGGCTTTGAACCTCGATCCTCAGATCTCAGCCTCCTGAGTAGCTAGGATTACAGGCGTGAGCCACCAGCGCCCGGCCCTTTCAGCAAAATTTTTATCTTGGGAACCACAGATGGTGGTGCATACCTGTAATCCCAGCTACTTGGGAGGCAGAAGCAGGAATATCACAAGTTTGAAGTCAATCCAGGCAAAGCTAACAAGACTCTGTCTCAAAAAAATAATAATAATAAATAAATAAGCCAATGGTATAGTTTAAGTGGTACAGAGTACTTGCCTAGCAAACACAAACTCTGTACCATCAAAAGTCAACAAAAGACCTGGTGCTGGTGGCTCATGCCTGAAATCCTGGCTACTGAGGAGGCTAAGATCTGAGGATCACAGTTAGAAGACAGCAGGCAGGAAAAGTCCATGAGCTCAAGGACAGCACCCAGGTCCTGAGTTCAAGCCCCAGGACCAACAACAACAAAAGTCAGCAAAAATCAGCATTGGGTCTGTGGTTCAAGTGATAGAGTACTAGCCTAGCAAGTGGCAAGTCCCCATACTGCCAATAAGTACGTGAATAATAACAAGAAAGAAATGTTACATGGGTTACACAAAGAAAGACAGAGTTGGCCTGTTATTGCTAGCTGAGTCCAAAGCACTTGTGATTACCCAGGCTGCCTAAACCAGATAGCAAATCGAGGAGCCTTCCAAGACACCTGGGGCTCTCTTGCTGAGCTTATGTTGTGGAAATCAAGGCACTATATTGATTCTCTTTGACTGTCAGCACTGGAAGTTTCGATGAACATCCCTCCCTTATCTGAGCTGATTATGGCCAGCCTTACGATCAGGGCAGGGCGTGCATGCATTATCCCTTCAGTGATGGAGCTGTTGGCTCTCTAAGCATATCCTATATCCAGCCTGTCCCTCCAGCCTCAGCTCCGGCTTAATGGCAAGAGGGCCAAGAACTCAGATACTTAAGGACACACCTCAGGGAGTACCTGGAGAACTGTGGCATTTAATTCTAGGTTAATCAGGGGAGCTTTTAGAGTCTTAAGTTTCTCTTTATTTAATTTACTTTTCCCAAGGATGGAATGAATGAGTGCAACATGCCACAGCTCATAGGTTGGTAAATGCTGGGCGCTAGTGCCTTGTGCCTTAAATCAAGCTACTCCAAGGAGGCTGAGATCTGAGGATCAAGGTTCCAAGCCAGCCTGAGTAAGGAAGTCCGTGAAATTCTTATTATCTCCAAAAAGTCACCAGAAAACCAGAAGTGGAGATGTGGCTCAAAGTGGCAGAGTGCTACCCTTGAGCAAAAGAGCTCAGGGACGGTGCTTCGGCCCTGTGTTCAAGCCCCGTGACCAATCCAAAAAAAAAAGTCAGATAGTAATTTTTGTTTTCTTCTTTTTCTTTTTATGGTGCTAGGGATCAACTGTGCATGCTAGGCAAATGCTCTACCACTGAGCTTCACCCCCGGCTCTAAAGAGTAAATATTTTAGGCTTTTTAATATATGGTCCCCATCACAATGGCTCAGATGGGCTGTGTGAATGAATGAGCATGGCTGGGTTCTAGTCCAGGTTTATGCATCAAATTTGACCAGACATTCAACTGGACTTGACCCATATATGGGCCACTATTTGCTGAACCTTGGTGAATGTCACAAAGTTATTTCTCTCCTTCTGCCTCAATCCGGAAAAGCATACCCTTCAAAGTTCTTTTGATTTGCTGCATATGTAATAATTACTGCATATATAATCATTGCTGTACATATAGTCCTTACTGTTTCATAAAATGCACCAAAACCAAGAGTAATGGATAGTCTACCTTGGCCACATCTGCATTGCTTAGTAACATTTCAGACACACACACACTAAAATCTTCATCCATATTTCTTCTGACACTGTCTCCTGAGTCTGGTCCATAAGTGATCTTAGATCTTTTCTTTTTCTCCTGCCTTGTCTAGCCATCACGACCTTGAAGGAGCACATCGGCTGGAGGCACAGCCTCCTCTTCGTGGGTCTCCTACAGTTGAACATCATGGTGTGTGGGGCCCTGCTCAGACCAGTTATTATCAGAGCACCAGGCTCTCCCAAAACCATCTCTCATGAACACCGCAAAGAAGTGCAATATATGCTTGAAAATGAGAAAACAAGAACCTCAATTGACTCCATCGACTCAGGAGTGGAACTAACTACCTCACCAAAAAACGTGCCTAGCCACCCTAACTCAGAGCTAGAATCCAGGGGGGACCAGCAGCAGACCCTAGTGGCCGGCTCCAAGCACAAGGAGAAGAAAGCCCCGTTGTTAGACTTCTCCATCTTGAAAGAGAAGAGTTTCATCTGTTATGCATTATTCGGGCTCTTTGCCACATTGGGCTTCTTCGCACCTTCTCTGTACATCATCCCATTAGGTATCAGTCTGGGTATTGAGCAGGATCGTGCTGCATTTTTATTGTCAACAATGGCAATTGCTGAAGTGTTTGGCAGAATCGGAGCTGGTATGGTGCTCAATCGAGAGCCCATCCGCAAGATCTACATCGAGCTCATCTGCGTCATCTTACTGACCCTGTCTCTGTTCGCCTTTCCTTTTGCGACAGAATTTTGGGGTCTCACATCATGTAGTGTATTCTTTGGGCTCATGGTTGGAACTATAGGAGGGACTCACATCCCGCTGCTGGCTGAGGAAGATGTGGTGGGGATTGAGAAGATGTCTTCAGCAGCCGGCGTCTACGTCTTCATTCAGAGCATCTCGGGGCTAGCAGGGCCACCCCTGGCAGGTAATTAAAGTAGATGAATTTTTAGAGTTTGTAGGAATTAGAGCCAACCCCCTTGACTTCGATATGAAGAAACCAGAGTTGAAGGCAATGGTCAGACACTTTGAACAACCAGGTCAGGATCAGAACCTGTGTCTGTAAGACCCAGTTGCAGGAATTTTCTGTCATCTTATTTTACCTAATTCTACACAGAAAGCCGTGAATGTGTAACCATTATAATTGCTGTATGACTTTTGTACCAAGAGAGCTAAGGGAATTCTGTGTCATTTTTGCTTTCTGTGTGTGTGTGCTGGTACTGGGACTTGAACTCAGGACCAAGGCATTGTCCTTGACATGTTTTTGCTCAAGGCTGGTGCTCTACCACTTGAGCCACAGCTCCACTTCCAGGTTTTGTTTTTTTGTTTTGGTGGCTAATTGGAGACAAGAGCCTCACAAATTTTCCTGCCTAGGCTGGCTTTAACCATGATCCTCAGATCTCAGCCTCCATATATACCCAGCTATTTTCCCCTTTTTTTTCTTTGTTTCCTTTTTTTTTTTTTTTTTTGAGACAAGATCTCACTTTGTTGCCTAGACTAGCTTGGAATTCACTATTGAGCGTAGGCTGGCTTCAGTTTCTGGATCCTTCTGTCTCAGCCTCCCCAGTGGTGGTACACGACTACATCAGGTTATTTTCCTTTCTTAGATATTTGGGAGTTGCACACATAGCAGCACTGTGCAAATACTCCTCCAATGCTTGATTGATGCAGAATATTTCCTTATTGGAGAGATACATGTTTTGGAGTTTAGATCAGATAAGTTATTTTAGTTAGTGGGATAAGAAACTTTACCCCTCTGTTAAAAGATACGCGAAAAACACACTATGAAAATAACACAGCTCTTTCCGTACATAAGAACAGTTCTTTTTTGAAAGAAACATGCACCTAATTGGCCCTTGCTTTATTTTGTGTGTGTGTGTGTGTGTGTGTGTGTATGCGCACGCGTGCATACGTGTGTGTGCGTGCCAGCACCAGGACTTGAGCTTAGAGTCTCACACTTTTGCTTGGCTTTCTTGGTCATGGTTGGCACTCTACCATTTGAGCCATGCTTCCAGTCCAGCTTTTTTCTGGCTAGAGATGGGATCTCATAGAATTTTCTCCCCAGTCTGGCTTTGAACCTCTACTCTCCAGGTCTTAGCCTCCTGAGGTGAGCAGCTAGGATTATATAGGTGTGAGCCTCTGGTGCCTAGGTTTCTCCAATAGTTTAGATTCTCCGCCAGGACAAACTTGACTAATGAAGAATTAAGTTGGCAATTTTGTTTTGTTTTTTTTTTCTGGTGCCAGTATACTGTATTTTGAGTGACTTATTCTCTCCAGTGTAGCAGAGATTTTTGCTTTTGACACTATTACCTTTAGGAAAACGAAACACAAGAGGGAAGGTGAGGGAATTTCTGAATGGGGCGAGAGCCAGGTGCAGGGGTCCATTGTAGTAATAATGATGGTAACAAAGCGCATACTTTCTCCCTCCAGGTCTGCTGGTGGACCAAAGTAAGATATACAGCAGGGCTTTCTACTCCTGCTCGGCTGGCATGGCCGTGGCTGCCGTGTGCCTCGCCCTGGTGAGACCATGCAAAAAGGGACTGTGCCGGACCCCTCCGTCAGGTGAAACCAAGACAGAGAGCCAGCGTGGGAAGACACTACAGGACATACCTGAGGACTTTCTGGAAATGGATCTGGGGAAAAATGAGCACAGAGTTCATGCGAAAATGGACCTAGTATGACACATTTTCGTGTCATGGCATCCGCCCTGTGGCCTGAGAAGCAGGGGAGCCTTGGAGAGATGGGGAAGCAGAGAAGGCACTGGACGCCACTTTCAAGGGAAACGTATATGCGAATAGCACTACCAACACCTTTCTTTTCCCTAAGTTTTCCTTTTTGCTTTTTTTTTTTTAAAAAAAAACCAAACCAAACAAAAACACCCACTTTCCCCCTTATAATCTAGCTCTGTTCTGTAGCAATACAAAGATATATCTATATCTTTTGTTTACAGTGTTAAAATAGTGACATGAATTGGGCAAATGGTCACTGTAAAAGCACTGAACTGGGGGGGGGGAACTATTCTCTGAAAGGACATTGGCCATTCCAAATTAAAACCCAGTGAAGTGTTACAAAATTTCCTAATTTTCAGAAATACAAGTTGTTTTTATAAGACAATTTGAGAAGAAGACTTTGAGGTTTCTATTAACAAATCATGGCCTCTGAATTTTTCCAAATATTACGTAGAAAGTAGTGGTGTTTAAAGCCCAATGTTTGATTAATATGCAAAAAATAAAACCACATAATAGCAAATATAACTTGAACTTCATAAATGTGAAGATTTCTTTATGGCCAGTCAGCACCAGATGTATTTTGATACAGAAGAGACTAAATTACATTAAAAAATGTGTTTCCTGTTGCTTTTAATTTTTCAGAAATATGTGATTATAGTGTCTTTAATTTAAACCACTATTTATTTTTTAAGTTATTCTAGGATGATTCAAGGTAATCAAAAGAAAAAAAGAGGTAATCTGCAAAATGTTTCTTTTTTACCTCCTTTCCACAGTCCTTTAAATGTCTAGAAGAATCCTTCTTATCTTAGAAAGTTATCTCATCAAAGGCCAAGCTATAATGATTCTTCAGTAGTTAAAGGCGATGTGTGTTATTTAAAAGGGGGAGAAAACTATGTGTGCTATTTAAAAGGGGGAGAAAACAGACCGCAAATCGCCTTAGTTTTTAAATGATCATTTGTTTTTATCACCTTAAGAATACTTGAGGGTATTCTTTGATCAGAATCACATTTCACTGAATTGTTGAAGCATTTCTGACCTTTTTGTTTTGATAACTGTTAAAGTATTTTGGTATTTCATTTAGGAGTAGCAGAGACCTTGATGTTACCATCACAGGTTATAAGTTTTGCCATTAACTTGACTCAGTTGTCCTAAGTGGCCCAATGTATCAGGTCATCGTTGTTTTAGAGTTACAGTACGCGCATAGTAAATCTCATTCTCACAGTTTTCTGTAAAGGGGCTCCTGTGAGGATATGATTCTTCTGCATCTCACCCTGCAGGTGATGGTCAATGCTTGCCACTCCATCTAGACTTGTCTTTACTATTAATTTATGAGAACTCAGGGGGAAAATACAACAAGCCTAGTTTGGTTACAGGTACACACAAGCTTGAATATTTCTCTGCACTGAAATGAAAGTGACATATAGTTCATCACCACCGGCTACATTTTTTTTATATATAGCTTTTATGTCAGCCATAGAAATAGGACAATCTTTTAAAGCTTTGGGGAGGTGACAAAGGAAATGACAAAGCGTCTGTCAAAAACAAGACACACCTAAAACAAGGTGCATGTAGCAAATCTCTGTCACTGCTTACAAAAAAGCTCTGAGCTTGTGGCAGTTTTGCAAACTTAACCTGACTTCAGCACTTTACAACCTATTTTGTACTATGAATGTTCAATACAATTTAATATTTATAACTCATGTCCAAGGAATCTGCTCTGTGTCCACTCTGTTAACTGCATGAGAGAAAAAAATGTATGCCAATTCCAGTATGCCAACAAACAAGGGTTTAAATGTTTAGAACAAAATGAAAACCAGATTATTGACTTGTTCTGTATTAGCAACATTCTGGTACTTCTAGATTTGCAATAAATTTATGGCTTCTTATTTAAAGAGTTGGATTTTCCTTTTAAAAAAATCAATTTAGATCATACAGTGTTTTATTCAATTAAAGCTAGACTCAGGGAGACTCCATTCCAATAAATGATATTTTAACTTTTTAATAAAATTGTTTACTCTCAGACACATAAACAATCTCGAGGCATTATCTATGGAACTTTTTTCTGTCATTAAAAAATAAGACAGTCAAGCTGGGTGCTAGTGGCTCACTCCTGTAATCCTAGCTACTCAGGAGGCTGTGATCTGAGAATCATGGTTCAAAGCTAGCCCAGGCAGGAAAGTCCATGAATCTCTTATCTCTAACAGACCACCAGAAAACCGGAAGTGGCACTGTGGCTAAAGTGGTAGAGCACTAGCCTTGAGCTGAAGAGCTGAGAGACAGTGCTCAGGCCCAGAGTTCAAGCCCCACGACTGACAAAAAGAAAAAAAAAAAAAAGACAGTCTCCAGGCACTGGTGGCTCATGCCTGAAATCCTAGAAACTCAGGAGACAGATCTAAGGATCAAGGCTCAAAGTCAGTCCAGGCAGAAAAGTCCCTGAGACTCTTCTCTCCAATTAACTACCAGAAAACTGGAAGTAGAGCTGTAGCTCCAAGTGGTAGAGCACTAGCCTTGAGTGAACAAGCTCAGGGACAGTGCTCAGGCACTGAGTTCAACACCTATGACCAACCAAAAAGAGGAGGTTTATTTGTATATTTGTCTTTAGGAAAGGAATCTTCCTATGTTGCCCAGGATGGCTTCAACCTGATCACCCTCTACACTCTTTCCTATAGAATATTTAAATCATCTAGAAAATGTTACAGTATTAAGACTTTGGTTATGGGCTTTTTTTTTTTTCTTTTTGCCAGTCGTGGGGCTGGAACTCAGGGCCTGGGCTTTTTTGCTCAAGGCTAGCCCTCCACCTTGAACCACCATGCTACTTTCAGCTTTGTATGTGGTACCGAGGAAGCGAACCCAGGGCTTCACGCATGTTAGGCAAGCACTCTACCATTAAGCCACCTTCCCAGGCCCTAGATCTTTTGTTTGAAGAACCTTCTGCTTGCTCTGTTGGTACTCTACCAGTTGAGCCACACTTTCAACTCTGCTTTTGATTTAGTTTAGAGATGAAGTCTCACAGACTTTTCTGCCCAGCCTGGCTTCAGACTTCTAGGATTAGCAGTTTGTAGCTAATGAGCTATGAGCCACTAGCTTCCAGCTATGGCTGAATTTTAAGTGGAACTTAGGGGCGATGTGGTGAATACTTGGTCACCTGTCTATGGCCTTGTTGGGAGACGTGGAACCTTTGGGTGGTGAGGCCTAGTGAGAAGAAGCTAAGTACTGGGCACTGAGACCCACGTCCCCATCCTCTTCCTCTTTGGATGTTCTACCAGGATCCAGACCCAAAGCCACAGGCCCATATGACCACTGACTGAAACTTCTGAAGCTGTGAGCCAAAACAAACCTTCCCTCCTTTTACTCAGGTGTTAGGTCACAGTGACAGAAAGCTGGCCAACACAACTGTCTAAACTCACAGAATAGTCCTAAGAACTTGTCTTTTTCTTTTTTCTTTTTTTTCCCCTTTCTTCTTTTTTTTTGTGCCATTACTAGGGCTTGAAGTCAGGGCTTTGCACTCTTCCTTGGCTTTTTTTTTTTTTTTTTAATCACAGCCGATGCCCTCCCACTTGAGCCATACCTCCACTTCTGACTTTTTGCTAGTTCATTAGAAATGTCCCATCGATTTATCTCCCTGAGCTGGCTCTGAATCATGATCCTCAGATCGAAGCCTCCTGACTAGTTTAGGATTACAAGCATGAGTCCCCATAGCTGGCTCTTTGGAATTTTATTTCATTTATTTATTGATTTATTTTTTGGTCAGTTGCAGGGCTTGAACTCTGGGCCTGGGTGCTGTCCCTCAGCTCTTCAGCTCAAGGCTAGTGTTCTATCACTTGAACCACACAGCACCACTTCTGGTTTTCTGTGTGGTTTATTGGAGATAAGAGTCTCAGGGACTTGGTATTCTGGTGGCTCATGTCTATAATCCTAGCTATTCAGGAGACTGAGATCTGAGGATCACGGTTCAAAGCTAGCCTGGGCTGGAAAAGCTGTGAAACTCCTATCTCCAATAAACTACCAGAAAACCGGAAGTGGTACTGTAGCTCAAGTGGTAGAGCACTTGCCTTGAGCTGAAGAGCTAAGGGACAGCGCCCAGGCCCAGAGTTCAAGCCCCATGACCGAACAACAACAACAAAAAAGTCTCACAGACTTTCCTGCCTAGGATGGCTTTGAACCACCATCCTCAGATCTCAGCCTTCTGAGTAGCTAGGATTAAAGTTGTGAGCCACCAGTGCCCAGCAATCCTCAGAAGTTTTTTTTCTTTTTTGATCGGTCTTGGGGCTTGAACTCTGGGCTTGGGCACTGTCCCTGCACTCTTCAGCTCAAGGCAAGCACTCTACCACTTGAGCCACAGCACCACTTCTGGTTTTCTAGTTGTTAATGGAGATAAGAGTCTCACGGCCTTTCCTGCCCGGGCTGTCTTTGAACCTGGATCCTCAGATCTCAGCCTCCTGAGTAGCTAGGATTACAGGCGTGAGCCACCTGCGCCTGCTCCTCAGAATATTTTTAAGGAAACAGTACATGCTCTCCATGCCAGGAGTTCTTAAGCTTTTTCTATAGCCCAGATAGTACTATTGAAGGGTTTTGTGATAGTTAATTGGAGGTAAGAGCCTTAGGGACTTTTCTTCCTAGGCTGCTTTGCACTTTGATCTGCAGATCTCAGCCTCCTGAGTAGCTAGGGTTAAAGGCATGAACCAGTGACACTAGTGTTGATTTTTATTTTTTAAAGCTCCCACAAGTGGGTTTTTCTATCAGAGATCTCCAGTTTAAAACCCATTGCTTTTAAAGTTTTAAGTAGTTATGAACATTTCTTAAAAGAGCCATGTAAAGACAAATTTTCAGGCATAAGCTAGACTAAAAGATCACTCCTACAAGTATACACTGACCTGAGAAAAGATAAGCTCTTTGTCTTCAAGTGTGTCATTAATCTAGACGCATGTGTTAAGCAAGGGCCAGCCCATCCCAAAGAAAGGCCACCAACACATGACAGCATAAGGAGGGAAACTAGGTCCCCCTGGTGTTCGGTTTTGATAATGACTCCAAAAGCCCACTTTAAGCAAAGCAGAAAGAATTTGCAACTTGGCTTCCCAGGCAAAAATAAAATAAATTTTTGCACCCGAATTATTCAAGTGCTTATCGATTTCCTAGAGGGGAGACTGAACAGCCACACCTGCTGTTCCAGAAATCTCCAAAGATTATTGCAAGCAAACTCTAATTCTGGCCACGTGTTTCCAGTAACTCAAGAAAACAAGGATGCTGGAAATCCGCTGTAAGTTCTGCCTCCACACTCCCGCCTCCCATTCTCAGTCCTCTCTCTGCTGAGTCCAGCCCTGTTTGTGTCTGCTCCGTGGCAGGTGGAGATCAAGCAGTGTCCTGAGCGGAACTCTGAATCCTCTTCCTCCAACCACCCTCACCAATCCTATCAGCTCTAACTTTCTAAATATATCCAGGACCTTGAGCCCACAGGCCAGCGTCTGCAGAGCCTCCTTCCAAGCTAGGATCACACCTGCTATGTTAGTCCTCCTGACTTCACTCCCACTACAAACCACCCTGCCTATATTTCCCACTCAGCAGTCAGAGAAGAATCCCTTTAGAGCGCAAGTCAGACAGGAATCCTTAAAGATGGGTGTCAGCTGTGTTGGCCTTACTGACTTTTTTTTTTTTGGTGCCAGTCTTGGCCACAATGCCACTTCCAGCTTTTTGGTGACTAACTGGATATAAGTGTCTCACTGATTTTCTTGCCTGGGCTGGCTTCAAACCATGATCCTCAGATCTCCACCTCCTGAGTAGCTAGAATTACAGGTATGAGCCACCAGCACCTGGCTCTTCACTGACTTTCTGACTGTTCCTGGAATTGTTCCTACGGTCCTAAGCTTTAGCACTTGAAGGTCCCTGGGCCCAGTATACCCTTCCTTTGGATTTATCTATGGTATACCCCTTTCCTTTGGTCACCTCAAAATGTCACATCTGTGGAAGTTTCCAAGGTTTCCATCCATGGTCATCCCAACTTGTGGCTTTGGGCCTGTGGTAAGGACCAACATCATGGCAGGCATGCTTGGCTCATAGACATGACCATTTCCAATTCCTGACTGGCCTACCAGTTTCTAATCTTTTACTCAGAATTTGCTGACTCCTTGATAATCTGTGCCTTCCACTAGTCTATTATTAGGGAAGATTATCGATTTTTGTTCGGCTATACCCCCACAAGGCTTCAAACAGAGCCTAACACATAGTAGGTGGCACTCCATTAAGTATTAAATAAATAAACTGTGCATGAATGAATGAGCTCATTATTTCTCACTGACCTATTTCCCCCCTTTCATGATGTGAGGAAATGATATGTATTTATGATCATAGCTCAAGAGAACCTGGAGTTGGTGTGATGTAGAGTAGCTGGATGGTCCTAAAACACTGAGAGTATGATGCTGGAAACCCATTGTTCCTAGATCTGAAGACAGGTCTCAAAATGCCCAGCAGAAGTAGGCCTGTCAGCCACAAGAAAGAAACACTGTCCACGAGAAAGACTGAATAAGAGAGGAGAAAGAAAAATACTACAATAGGGATACAGAGGTAGTTGTGGAGGTGGAAGGGAAGGGATGGTAGGGGTAACAAAGGAGGCAACAATGCTCAATAGGAAATGTACTCATTACCTTGCTCACGTAACTCTAACCCCTCTGTATAGCATATTTTACTAGGTGGGGCCTCTACTACCTGAGCCACAGCCCTTTGTGCTTTTTGTTATTTTTCAAATAAAGTCTCACTTTTTACCTCTGCCTACCTACATAGCCATCCTCCTATTTAAACTTCCCACATAGCTGGAATGACAGGCATACACCACCACACCCAACTTTTTATTGAGAAGGGCTCTCTCAGACTTTTTGCCATTACTGATCTGAAACTTTGATCTTCCCAATTTCTGCCTCTCAAGTAGCTGGGATTATAGACATGAGCTACCATGTTTTGCTTGTTTTCCAATTTCTTGTTCTGGGGTTTTGTTTGAGACAGCATCCTTTTATGTAGGTCTCAAACTCATGACCCTCTTGTCTCAGTCATCCAAAGTACTAAGATTACAGATGTACAAGGCCATCACTTACAGTGCCCACTGTTTTACTGACACATGGTAATTGTACATATTTAAGGGGAACAGTGTGACATTTCAATACATGTATAAAATGAGATCAGACTAAAGTAAAATGCCTTATCTCTGGCTTATCTACCTCCTCAGACATTTCCATTTTTGGTGTTTTGTTTTGTGTGTACTTGTGTGTTGGTACTGAGACTTGAACTCAGGGCCTGGGTCTTGTTCCTTAGCTTTTATTCACTCAAGGCTGGTACTGTACCACTTGAGCCACAGCTCCACTTCTAACTGTCCTTTCTAGACTGACTTTGAACCGTACAATCCTCAGATCTTAACTCTCCTGAATTGCTAGGATTAAGGTATGAGCCGTCAACGGTGTTGGGAATATTCAAAATGTTCTGTTTTTTCCAATTTGGAATTGGTGTGTACTCTCTTGCTTTTTGCCCCACTCATTCCCACTTTTTCTCTCCCCCCACTTTTCTCAGTGATGGAGATAGGCCTTCAGGCCTCATGAATGCTAAGCAAGTCCTCTATCATGAGTACATCCTTAGCCAGTAAATGATTGGGGGGGGTGTATTTTTTTTAATGTTTTAACTGATACAGGCATGCTTTTCCAAACACTGTAACTCTCATCTTAGTGCTAAGGCAGAAATACAAAGACCCGACTTCTCTGACTCTGAGCAATTCCAGATGGCTCCACTTGATTAGAGAAGTTGAAAGGAAGTTTAATCTTATAAGCCCCTTTATAAACAATATGAAAAAAAATCATTTTGACTTCTGGCTGTATTTTACTTCCATGGGGTCAGGTAACAGGGAAAACACTGCAGAACTGGAAATTAGGAAAACTTTTGAGATGGGCCCCATTTTTTTTACCTTTGGTGTAACTGCACAACACATTTACTTGGCAGACTAGCTTGACCACACCCAGAAAATGAGCAAGACAATCTCCACTTCAGGAACACTTTACAAGTCACTTTCCCAAACTGAAAATGTGTGAAAGGTAAAACCAAGCCCTTGGCAGTGAAAGAGGAGGATTAACAAACAAACAAAACCTGCATAAAGTTCTGCAGGAAGTTCCAGAACCATCACGAACTCATCAGATACTCGAACCAGCGGCTTTCACTATGCCTAGACCTTCACTATGCCCAGTCTTTCTCTCCTGCCAACTCTATTTCCCAGGTTTAACTTTCCAGACAGACTAGAGACTGATCTTAATGTAGAGCTGCTCAGACCAATAGATGAGCCACCAGCCAACTGGGCTGAGCCCCTAAAATGAGACCTGTTCCCACTGAGGCATGCTATGTGCAAAGTATGCCAGATATGGAAAACTTGACATGGTAAATGAATATAAAATATCTCAGTATTCATACTGATTACATGTTGGAGCGATGGTATAGATACATTGAATATGTGACTGAAATTAACTCCACTTGCTTGTGTGTAGGTATGTGCGAGCACCAAATACAAGTGTGTAGGTACTGGGGCTTGAACTTAGTGCCCTAGGCTCTCAGCTTGATAGTTCACGGCTGTGCTCTACCACTTAAGCCACACCTCCAGTAAGGCGTTTGCAGGTTCACTGGAAACAGGACTGGCTAGCAGTGGCGACCCTGTAGGCACGAGCCACCAACACCTGGTTTGCTTTTATCTTAATTTTGCGTGTGTTAATTGCACTAAAAAGTTAAACTCCGTGGCCCGCATTATCTTCCTACTGGCCTGTGCTGCTCTGGATAGCAGAAACCTAAAGGGTGACTACGTTTCCAGCTTTGACAAGAGAACGGAAGCCACTCACTGCGGGCGCTGCCACCTCCATCCGGATCTTCCGAGGCCCAGCTGGGCCCTGGGCTCCGCGGGGCTCGGTGTCTAGGAGGGGCGTGGCCGCAGGCTCCCGGGGAAGGAGGCTCTCCGGGCACCGGAGGCTGCGAAGGAGGAGCGGAGGAGGTTACCCGGGGTCTCGGGCACCTGGGCAGGCCGATGCCGACTCTGCACTTCTGCCCAAGGGGAAGTCCCGGCAGCCGGACGGGCGGAAACAGGTGGCGGCCACTGCAGGCGCCGCGCGCGCGTCCGCTCTCCCCGGGCGCAATCCGGGCGGGCGAACGCTTCCTGCGCGGGAAGGGCCGGGCAGGGCCGGGGAGGGGACGCAGGGAGGGCCGGGCAGGGCAGGGCCGGAGAAGGGGACGCAGGGGAGGGCCGGGCAGGGCAGGGCCGGGGAGGGCCTGCGCGCAGGGCCAGCTATAGCAGTCCCGTGGCCGCCTGCTTGGATTTTAGCATCTGGGCTCCTAGCTCCAGTCCGCTCCCGCCTCTAAGAGCATTTCCGAGCTGGCGATTTCGAAATCGGCCACACCAGGGGCTGGGGGTGTCGCTCAGATGGAGTTGCCTTGCAAGTTGGAGAACCCCAGGACCGCCACCACAGAAAAAGAAAAGCCCGTGCTTCGGACGGCAGGCCGGGGCCGCACGGAGAGGCCCGGCCAGCCTGGCTCACCTGGCGCGAACCTGCAGCTTCATCCAACTGCTACGATGATCCCCGCAGCCGAACCAAGTAAAAAGGCGGATCGACAAACCAGGGGGAAGCCTTGCTACTCTTCCGTTACCCCTCTCTCCTAAAAGTGGGGCTTGAGGGTTATTTTTCCCCTTCGTGTGTGTGTGTGTGTGTGTGTGTGTTTACACGCGAGCACAGTATTGCAGTTTGAAACTAGGGCCTTGTGCATGCTAGGCAAGCGTGCCCAACCTCTGTACTACTAATACAGACCTACAGGACTAGATGTCATTCCCTTGTTCGACAATGAACAAAAATGTATGAGAATGGGCCATAAAGTTCATTGTTCAGGAGGGAGTAACTGGGGGAAAGCAAAGGAAGGGGTGACATTGTCTCAGAAAGAGAAAGAGAGAGAGAGAAAGGAAGGAAGGAAGGAAGGAAGGAAGGCATACTCATTACCTGACTTACAAAATGGTAACCCCTCTGTACAGTACCTTGATAATTAGCATATTATTCAAAGAAATAAAACTCAAACAAAATCTTTTTTTTTTTTTCCCGGTCTTGAGGCCTGAACTCTGGGCCTGGGCGCTGTCCATCAGCTCTTCAGCTCAAGGCTAGCACTCTACCACTTGAGCCTCAGCCCCACTTCCGGCTTTTTCTGCTTATGTGGTGCTGAGGAATTGAACCCAGGGCCTCAGGCATGCAAGGCAAGCACTCTACCACTAAGCCACCTTCCCAGCTCTCTAATTAATTATAATAGCAGACTTTTTTTTTTCTTGTTGTTTGTTGGTTTTACTGAGACAAGGAAACACTGTGTAATCCGGACTGACCTGGGACTCACTATGTTGCTGGCAAAGACCTCAAGTTGAAGAACCCCTGCCTCACGTTCTAGAGTGTGCACCATGCCTGGCTTCAAAACAACATTTTTCTAACATAACTGAAGTGGCTTAGGGTAACAGGGCCACGTGAATGAGAGGAAAAAGAATGAGCAATTACAGTCATTATAGTCAATGTACATTATGTAAACACTCAACTATGTAACTTGAGGGTAGAAAGGGGATTGGAGAAGCTGGGAGGATGGCAGGCGTGAGATTGATCAAGATGCACTGCACTCATAACCTGACTTGTGGAACTGAAACCCCTTTGTACTACATAATAAAAAAAAAAACAAAGACTCCTGAAAAAACAATTTAAAGCAGTTTAATCAAGTTAAAAATGTGGAACGTGGGGCTGGGAAGTTGGCTCAGTGGTAGGGCGCTTGCCTTGCATGCCTGAGGCCCTGGGTTCGATTCCTCAGCACCACGTAAGAAAAAAGCCGGAAGTGGCGCTGTGGCTCAAGTGGTAGAGCGCTAGCCTTGAGCTGAAGAGCTGAGGGACAGCGCCCAGGCCCAGAGTTCAGGCCCCACAACCGGACCCCAAAAAAAATGTGGAACGTAAAGGAAATCATTAAATATAGACTGCGCCTTCCAACAGACTGCGTAGATAACAATGGTGAGAGTTTTGGTTTCAAAGCACAAGGAAAAAGAAAAAAAAAAAGAAAACTAATTACCCTTAAGTCTGAAGATGGCAAAGTGGAAAATGCTCTTAGTGTCAGCTCACAGGCAGCCAGGAAAACGATATAGTCTCATTCCTACATTTCCAGGACATGGTGATATAGCAGAGGTGGTTTTTCAAGTCCAAGCTTATCAACCTGCTTGCCACCATGGCAACTGTCACTACCTGCAGGGTCTCCATCATGGGAATCATGGCCTCCCAGCAGATCAACTCACAGCATCCTCTCCCCATCAAACACCTCACAATGCAAACTAAGCAAGGCATTACAGGAATAAGCCTCAATCTTCTCTAAGCTATAGACTGAGAGCACACACATAAACATAAATATCGACCCAAGATCAGTTATAGCTCAGAATGGCAATGTAACCTCACCCCAAGGTGCTGTAGGCCAAGTATCACTTATATTCTGTGTGTGTGTGTGTGTGTGTGTGCGCGCATACACAGGCACTGATACAGGGGTTTTAACTCAGAGCCTCAAGCTATTGCTTGGCATTTTCGACTCAAAGCTCTATTTCTGGCTTTCTAAGGGTTGGCTAGAGATACATGTCTCTGAGGTGTGTCTACCTGGGCTGGTTTTGAACCATAACCCTCAAATCTCAGCCTCCTGAGTAGCAAGGATTTCAAGTGTAAGCCACTAAAACCCGGCTCTTATAAATATTTTTGAGGGGGGGGGGTATACCTTAAACTGTTAAAACTGTCACAAGCTGTTGCTTTTTTTTTTAGAGAGAGATCAGCTGATAAAAAGCAAAGAAAGAGATGAAAAGCACCCTAGAGGGTAGGAAATAATCACAGAAAAAGAGGGGTAGAGAATGAAAGACGAGCCTATGGAATTTCCTAATGGTGACCTACGAGGGACAGCAGCATCTCTTCTAAAAACAAAAGCCACCCCTGCAAGACTGTTGGTTTATTCCCTGAAACATATATAGAGCTACTTTTAAAGTATTTATTTATGTAGTAGCTAGCTATTACTAATCTTAGCTTTCTTGTGAGACGTAAACATTTTAAAATAGAAATGATGTACTTACTGCCTCAGAGCAGGCTAGTAAGATAAAATGCTTTTTTTTTTTGGGTCCGAATGTGGGGCCTAAACTATGGGCCTAGGCACTGTCCCTCAGCTTTTCAGCTGAAGGCTAGCACTCTACCACGTGAGCCACAGCGTCACTTCCGGCTTTTTTTTTTTAATGCTTAGGTGGTGCTGAGGAATCAAACCCAGGGCCTCATGCATGCAAGGCAAGTGCTCTACCACTGAGCCACTTTCCCAACCTGATAAAATGCTTTTTACTATCCACAATGAACCTCCTTTCAGTCCTGCTACTTAAAAGAAGGTTCTAATCTGTTACTCAGAATGGGCAAATGGGTTTTTTTTTTTCCCCAATAAAGGACTCCACCCAATGAAAGTAATATGCAAGGACTGATTTAATTACTCCTGATTTTGGAGAACAGCAAGGCATTTTACCACCCACTCTCTCCATTCCTTAAAGGCTTCCACTGGTTTCGGCACACTCACGGCATTCTCACAGCTGGGCTTTGGAGCTGGCGTGTCAGTGCATTCCTCATCGATCCACCTCACCAGTGCCTGGAAAGACAGAAAACTTTCACATTTTATTTGCTCATCTACTTTTTTTTTTTTAATAGAATTTTGTGCTGGTACTAGGGCTTGAACTCAGAGCCTAGACACTGTCTCTTAGCTTTTTTTGCTCTATCATTTGAGCCAAAGCCCCACTTCAGGATTTTTTGCTGGATAATTGGAGATAAGAGTCTTACAGACTTTGCTGCTCGGGCTGCCTTCCAACCAGGAACCTCAGAGCTCAGCCTAAGTAGCTAGGATTACAGATGTGAGCCACCGGCACCTGGCAGATGTACACTTTTTTGTGTGGCAGTACTGTGGTTTGAACTTGGGACCTCATACTTGACTAGGTAAGTATTGTACTGCTGAACCACAGTTCCAGCCCTGAATGTAGACATTTAAGTCCACACACATACATACCAATATGTGTGGACACACATGCATACATATGAAAATTACTTTTCCTCTTCTCTCTTAAAGGAAATCATCCCCTCCTCCTAAAGGGCATAATCACATATGCACATTTATATGACTTACAAAAATGAACTTTACTACACATATCAATATTTACTTTTTTTTTTTTTTGTCAGTTGTGGGGCTTGAACTCTGGGGCTGAGCGCTGTCCCTCAGCTCTTCAGCTCAAGGCGAGTGCTCTACTACTTAAGCCACAGCGCCACTTCGGTTTTCTAGTGGTTTGTTGGAGTTAAGAGTCTCATGGACTTTCCTGCCTGGGCTGGCTTTGAACCACGATCCTCAGATCTCAGCCTCCTGAGTAGCTAGGATTACAAGCATGAGCCACTGGTGCCCAGCCTCAATATTTATTTTCTTTTGCAAAGTCAATTAATCTCTCCTGTCCTAAATAGATTGGAAATAAACTGTCACCATTAGCCATTGAATTGTAAGTGTGAGACAGAGTCAAGATGAAGTTTTTAAGGGAGAGGATTCTTTGCTTTTTTTTTTTTTTTAAACCACAACTTCCTGGATGTTCCTACAATGATTTCCTCTGATAAATCATCACCCTACAGGATCTAATAGAACATATCAGCTTGCTACTTAAATAATCACTTCCCTCCAATCAGCCCCCAAATTTACCTTGTATCTTTCTACAATATTGAAGCCAAGAGCACACTGTAACTTGCGCAAGCAGATAGGGCAAAGGTTTAGAGGACGCCGATCAGCTTCCTCCAAGTGGTTGGAGCCTTGCATTAAGCATGCAAGCCACTGGCAGTGTCTCAGTCCAAATATGTGTCCAATCTCATGGGTTAAAGTCTGCAAGACATTCAACACTGTGGCATTACAGCACCACCATCATCAAGTTACACATCACTTTGCCTGCTTTTCCAAGAAACAGATTTACAGGAATTAACTCAGAGTTTCAGATCTCCAAACTTAGTAATCCATCGTTTCCTAAATGTCCCAATGCCTTACTTGCTTTGCTTAACATCCTCTGGACCACACTTTGTCCTTCCATACTGCTGACTGTTGGATGGTTAACATCATCTGGAGGGAGCAGTCTTGGGTGTTGTGGGAAGCTTTCCAGCATTCCTGGCCTCTGTCCACTAGATAACAGGAGAACCCTCCCCAACTGTGGCCATGGACAATGTCTCTAGACCCCTGGATAGTAAATTCATCCTTGGTTGAGAACACTTAACTCTAGGTCAGGTTACTTATTACAGTTCAGATCTTGGGCCTTTTCCACCCCCCACCCCCCACCCCTGGCTCCAACTGGGAGGAAGAGTCGGGACTTGATCTGCTGGTAATAAGGACACTACTGGAACCTTCTTTGAGCTTAACAGTTCTAAGAGGCTTATTTCTCAAAGCCCAACAAATAGTTCTGGGGAAAGCAGAACATGTTAAACTATGAAACTAAGGGGGAAATGGGAGGACAGGCTTTCCAAAGGGCTGCAAGCTGTGTGTGTTGCAAGGAGCAGGAGGGAAGGGAGATGTTAGGAATTGTCACAGAAGTTTTCCCGGAGAGGCCAGAAAACAAAGGTTCTCCAGCCACAGAAGTTTTCCCGGAGAGGCCAGAAAACAAAGGTTCTCCAGCCTCCATGGGAAGGAAAGCAGTTTTTCTGTGATCATAGCAGCCGCCTGAATGAGAATACTGGAATCCAAGAACGATTAACTGTGAGGACAAAGGAACAGCCCAAGTCTGCCTATGGCAGCAGGACCAAACCTTGCACCAGTATTGTAAAGTTTGTTGTAAAGGCATCCAGTTAAAATTCTGTCTTTATTGATTTTTTAGTCCAGCAAGAGCAACCAAAAGTATACAAATGATCCAAATTCACTTATGTACTTGATAGTATATGCCCTAAGCAATTACAATCTCTCATTTATTTTTTTAATGTTCTTGTAGTTTTTTTGGTTTTTGTTGTTGTTGTTGTTTTTTGTCAGTCATGGGGCTTGAACTCTGGGCCTGGGTACTGCCTCTCAGCTCTTCAGCTCAAGGTGAGTGCTCTACCACTTGAGCCACAGTGCCTCTTTTAGTTTTCTGGTGGTTTATTGAAGAGTCTCATGGAGTTTCCTGCCCGGGCTGGCTTTGATCCATGATCCTCAGATCTCAGCCTCCTGAGTAGCTAAGATTATAGGCATGAGCCTCCAGCACCTGGCTTGTTCTTGTAGTATTTTTAAACAACTTACCTTACAGGATCGCAGCAGCAATGCACTAGTGATGTCAGGGACACAGTAGTTATTAAAGATGGAATAGTCACTAGAAGATACTCTCTTAGGCTTCTTCACCTTGCCCTTATAGTGGGAGCTATAGAAATCCTTGCCATACCTGGCAAAGCTGAATATCCCCACACCTGTAAAGAGAACAGCACCCACAGGTGGAGGGTGAGATTCCTACAGGAAGATGCTTGCTAGAACATCTACTCAAGAGAGTGCACCTCGGTGCTACTATTCCCAGAGTCTAATACACTTAGGATTTGCCAACATAAAGAGGACTTTTCCCCCTGGTTTCCCTATCGGAATCTTTATCTGCTACCCAATTTGCTTTCCTCTGTGAAATTTAATGGTCAAAATGAAAAATGTCGAGCCAAGTGCCAATGGCTCACACCTATATTTCTAGTGGGGAGGTGGAGTGGGAGGAGCTAAAAATGGGAAGATTACTGGCTCCAGGCCAGTGTAGGCAGTAAACTTTACTTCTTAACCTATCACTGGATGCAAGAGTCTGGGCCTGTCATGGCAAGCAAAGTGGGAAGCTGAGGTCAGGAGGACAGAAGTTCCAGGCCAGGGTAGAAAAGTCCCTAAGATGTCATCTCCACAAAGGGACGCTGGACAAGGTGGCCCACCCCTGTGATCCTCACAACTACAGGAAACATAAAGTAGGAAGATTGCAGTCCAGGTGTGTGTCTGGGTGGGAAGTGAGTCCCTATTCTAAAAAAAATAACCAGTGACGAACAAGGCTGGAGGCATGGCTCAGCAGTGAAGTGCCAACCTAGCCAAGTGCCTTTAAACTCCAGTACTACCACCCCCCCAAAAAAAATTGTTTTTTTTTTCAAAAGCACTCTAAATGGAGTCATGAAAAATAACCCCATGAACACAGTCATGATGATTACCTGCAGAAACAACACACAGATCTCTGCTTCACTCATGTCTAGCAAGGGCTCCTGGCTTCCTCTCATGTCCCACCTTGGCCCTTGATATCTCAAAAATATGGTTTGGAGTACGACTTTGGGCATTAACCTCCTCCTTCCCCCTCAGTCTTTTGTAAAGTATAGCACACTTCTATTTTGTGGGTGGTATCCGGTGACCAGAATAAATACCCTGGTCACTGACTTCCTGTGTAACATTTACAGTTCTATCTACCATCTCTGCCTGCACAGACTGCACAGCTTGCCGCATAACTCACTGTGGGAGACTGTTGTATAACTGGACTTGTTTACATGATCGCTTTTATTTATGCCACTCTTTCAGCTCCTTCTTTAATCATGTTCCATTTTGCTTTGCAGTATTGGGGATGGAATCCAGAGCCCTGCTCAAGCTAACCAAGGGCTCTGTGTTCTTAGCCCCTGACACTTTTTTTTTTTTTGGTAAGGAAATAAACTCAGAGGAAGTTTATCCACTGCAATTTGATTCAGAAGAATGTTCCTTACCTCATTTTCAGAAAGTGAGAGGTGAAATGTAGGATAAGGTATTATTCTGGAGGTTAAGAAAAAAACTACATCAACTCACATACTTACTTAAAGTGACCTCCTCTGGCCAAACAACTGTGAGACTACTTTATATAATAGTATTGTTTGGACAAGTATGCCTTCTGTTTCTTACAAATAGATAACCACTTTACTAGTAATAAATGTTTCTCAATTTTAAAATATCCAACTTCAAACCTGTGGTATGATACTGTCTCACTGCATCTCAGAGTCTCCCTGCAACTTTACCAAGTCTCATCATCACAAAAATCTTTAAAAACATATCCTTCTCTCAAAAAAAATAGTTGAAAATAGAAATAAATGTATCCTGGCCTCAAAGGTACAAGATAAACTAGCTAGCAATAGCAAAATTGGGTCTGAGTGTTCTTCCTTAGCTTTTTCACTCCAAGTTGATGCTCTACCACTTGAGCCAGATCTCCACTTCCAGGTTTCTACTGATTAAGTGGAAATAAGAGTCTTTTGGGCTTTCCTTCCCCAGCCTGGCTTTAAACCACCACAAGCCTCAGATCTCAGCCTCCTGAACAGTTGGGATTATTGGCGTGAGCCACCAATTCCTGGCCTTGAAGTTATTTTTAATGTTTCCATTTCTGCCAGGTTAACAACTGAAGGAGGAACTTCTGGTTAAAAGTTAGCAAGAGAAAAATGACCCAATATCCAAGACAGCTTGTTGGTAGGGTCATGGCAGGGGAACTGCCTGTAGGACTCTCATGTGAAATAGGTAACATTACCTCAAGGTCAAACAGCTAGGGAGAAACCCAGATCAGAGTCTCTGGAGAATCTACTTCCCACAATAGCATGAATGGTCCTTCATTGCAAATACCATACAGTTTTAAATATCAAAGCTATCATTGGCTAGAATGCTTTCTCTTTTAATATCTTCAAATATTCTCACGTTACAGAAGTTTCTACCATCAAACAATGTCAAAAAGGAATACCATCCGTCAAAGAGGCCTGTCCAAAGACAAAGTTCCATGAGTCTCTTGGGTAAAGATCTATCATTGTTATCCCCACAACACAGAAGGCATCTTCACGTTTTTTCTTTTTTAAAAACGTCAGGATATGTCCTATTTTAAAAAGAAATATATATGTGTGTTTGCATACATCATACATGAATTTCCTTTGGTAAATTCCAGCTGTAAAGTTGTTGCATTCACCTGCATGAATCTGTAGGTTCTGTGTGTGATCGTTAACTCGAAAGGAACACTTTGTGGCAGAAACAGACACTGGTTCTAGGAGTTTTACTGTCAGACCATAGAAAAATGCTTCACAGTAGCTCTTCAGCCACTTAATATATTCTTCGCTGATAACTCTGGTGTTTGCCAGAGATCCTATAATAGTGGAGACAATTTTAAGACTTTACAATGATCAAAATATCCAATCTCGCCTTCACTCTATAAGCTAGTAATTTGACATTACAAAAACAATAATCACTATGTTTCTAAACACAGTTACTGGTGGCAAAATGTTCATTTTTAAGTCAGTTTAGTACAAAACCTCTTCAATGAGCATCACAAGTGATCATAATCTATGCCAATATCACAATGAAACCCTTCACTTTGGTACAATCACACACTAATGCAAAATACTGACAAGTGGACTGCTGCCTAGCATGTACAAGGTCCAAGATTCAATTTCCAACTCTTAAAAAATCATAAAAGTTTGCCACTTAAACCAGGTGTAATGGCACATAACTATAATCCAAGTACTTGGGAAGCTGAAGTAGGAGAATCTTGAGTTTGAGGCCAGCCCAGACTACAGTTCAAGGGGAGGCCAAAACAGGCTTGCCTCCACATGAATCAGGCCAACAATCCAAAGAGTCTCTGACCACAGCACCACTGCAAAGCAAATCACACAAAACCATACCTATAGACTGTATATAAATAGTGTGCTTCTCTGGAGTCGGTGTCTTTCTGTAGGCATCACTGAAAAACTGTTCAAAGTCTTGGGGAACCTCAGGGTGGGAAATAATCCAATCTGACTGTGATTGAAAAGTAATAGGCTTAAAGAGATCACTGGTTGGCTGGAAAGCTTCATTCATTAAGCGTTGTTCCCCAGCATCTAGTTTCTCATACTGTGACACAAGTACTGGGTTCTTTGAGATGAGGGCAGTTTTTAGTGTCTGTTCAGAGTGCCGAAATACGTACATCTGGAAAAAAAAAGATAGATAAAAACACATTGGGGACTTTCATCTATTCATGAGATATACATTTCTCATTGCTCCCTAGATTGGTATGACTGTAGTAGTTTCTCTACTTTCTGTTTCCCTGGGGATATTATCCAAGGCATTGAAAACCATTCAATCCATCCTCATACAGAATCTGTTTTTCTTATAAAAATTAGTGGTGAGCCAAGGTGGTAGTGCACTCCTGTAATTCCAATATTCAGAAGGCTGAGACAGGGTTATCATAGTTCAAGACCAGTCTGGTCTACACTGTGAGACTGTCTCCAAAATCAAACCAAACAACCAACCAAAGAAGCAAACAGAACGTAATGGTGTCCTAATATCTGATGTTGCTCTGTCATTTGAGTAATAACCACAATATGAGGTGACTCATTAGAGCCACATGAAATAAACTCATTGTTTCCAGTGTGACTCAAAGATAGTCAACAATCGAACATAAAGAGAAGGCATCTAAGTACCCACTTCTGTGACTTAGCTGCAGGCTGACAAGCTGTCTCAGCTGCCTCAGTCATGACACTCTGGGGATGTCTAATCAAAAGCCAGACTCACAATGACAGTTGTCTTCCATTCACTTTGTGCTCCTATGTACAGCTTTCATCCTTCAGTTGAGTGGATCAAACAGATGTAATACCAGGAAGGTTTCTGAGTTGGAAAAGGAAACAATTGTATTATCTCTGTCTCCATCCTATCAGATTTTCTGATTATCTAGGTTTTCAGTTTAGTGACGTGAGAGCTAAGAAGAAATGTTAAGCTGATTTTTATTCTCTGGAATCAATTGAAATTCTAATTTGCACATAGAATCATCCTCATTACTACATATCTGGGGTAAACTGTGACTTTTTTGCATTGGTAATATGGCTTGAATTCAGGGTCTCACACTCCTACTTGGCTTTCTCTATTCAAGACTGGCACTCTGGGCTGTGAATGAGGCTTAGTGGTAGAGTGCTTGCCTAGTATGTATGATGCCTTGGGTTCATAACCAGAAAAAGCCATAAGTGGTGCTGTGGCTCAAGTGGTAAAGTGCTAGCCTTACACAAAAGCAGCTCAGGGACAGTGCCCATGTCTTGAGTTCAAGCCCCAGGACTGGAAAAAAAAAAAAAAAAGACTTGCCACTCTACCATTTGAGCCACAGTTCCCATTTCCAGCTTTTTGGTGGTTAACTGGAAATAAAGAGTCTCACGGATGTGTCTGCCTTGGCCTGGCAGATCCTCTGATCTCCGCCTCCAGAGTATATAGGTGAGAGCCACTGGCACGGGGCAAAAATCTGATTTCTACGGGATAGTAATATAAAACAAAGCGTTCTCTTCTAGCCCACCTACCTTTATAAAGGAGGAAGGCTTCATTGAAGTGTTTCCCTTACAAGAACTAGCATATTCGGAAAAGTGTTATGGAGGCCTCTACTTTTGGAAAAGCAGGGTGAAAGGTCAGGAGGCCTGCATGTCCAGGTCTAATACGGGTGGAGACGCTAAATTAGAAGAGGGGCAGAAGAGGCAGCACAGGGTCACCACCGGGGGGAGGGGGAGGGGGGAGAGAGGGGAGGAATGGTTATGTTCTAAAATCAGGAATATCCCAGGAGACAGGGTCTGATCACCCTAGCTGGTTGCCCATAGCAACTCCCATTTCGGGCTCGGTCCAGTCCAGGCGTGACCCAGTCCCCGCGTGAGGGTGGGGTGGGGCCTCTCCCGGGACTCTCGGTTGGCCTCCTCTCCTCCTCAGGAACCTTATCAACTAAGCCCGGGCCTCGCACGGGGTGGCATCCCGCCCCCGCCCGCGGTCCTCGCAGCTTCCGCCGCGGCCACCCCTCCCACATCCGCACCCCTCCCTACCGACCGCGGCCGCTCCTACCCCCGCCCCGTCCTCTCCAACTGGGCTGTCCTACCCTGACAGGCCCCGAGCGCCCACCTCACCCGGACAGGCCTCGCCTCGGCTCCACCCTCCCGCCTCCCGCGGCCGCCCCAGCACGCGTGCGTCCCCTCCCTCCCCGACCCCGCCCACAGGCGCCGCCGCGCCCCGCCGTCTTTAGTTCCGCCCCTTCAAGGCCTCCCCCCTCCATTCCGGATGCGTCCATTGGTCCAATGCCTGCCCGCTGCTTTAGCTCCGCCCCCAAGGGCCCCGCCCAACGGGTCTCGCCCTGTTCGCGTCACGCCTCCTCGCCACGCGCGGAGACGCGCGGCCGCTGCGGCCGGCGGGGAGCTCGAGTTTGCGGTCTTCCCTGAGCGGCTGGTGGCGGGAGGGCGACCAGGTACCGAAACCCGCCCCGGTTCCTCGCCTTCTTCCGCTCTGGCCCCGAAGGCGGCGCCGCGGCCCGCCCCCGTCCCCGCCTTTTCCCCCTCTTGCCCGGGAGGGAGCGCCGCGGCCCGGGTTCCCGCGCCCGGGTTCCCGCGGGCCGGGCCGGGTCCCCCCGGGCCGCTGGGACCCAGCCACCTGCGGCGGAGGCCGCATTTCCCTTCGGGCCCGCGGGGACCGCCGGCCGTGGTTTTTGCAAAGCGTGGGGCCTTGAGTTAATGTAACCACCGCGTCCAAAAGAAGTCATCCGCGTCGGCGGGTTGACGCAGAGCGGGGCCCCTGCGTGTGTGTGGGGACCTGCATGCGCGGGCGGTGTGGCTCTGTGGCCTGTGAGGCCGACAGACCCGCCATCCTCCAGGGCTTGGGGGTTCCCGGGAAGGTAAGCAAGCTCTGACCCCAAGGGATCCTTCAGCCCCGAGCAGTTGAGCGAATCGAAGCACAGGGTTTCCCCCCATCAATACCTCTCCCCTCACCTCCCCCAATCCCCACGTGCACCTGTGTGGCCCCCCTGATGCAGGCCACCCGCCAGGCATCATACCTGGTGGTTGAAGCCTTGGAAGTTGTAGAACTTTAGGGGCTTCCAAGCAAGTCGACACCCCCCACACCCTTCTTACCTCCTGACCCTTTCCAACCCCATTCCTTCTCCCCCAGGCACCATCTCATTGGTCCCTAACAGTTTCTTACCAAGCAACCGTGGGGAAGCCCTATTAAAAATCTGTTTTCCAAAACCCACCTCTGCCCTCTGGTTTTCTTCCAAGATTTCACCTTAAGGAGCATCTTATTTTTATTTCTCTCTGGGCCCCGTTTTTCTCTCGTAGCCCGCCCTCAAAAACATTACTGTTTTGTCATGTAGTTAGTACATGCCTATCATCTTAGCTACTCAGGGGTTTGAGATCCGGAGGTTCACAGTGGGAGTGAGGGGGAGTCTGAGAGATTCCATCTCCAAAATAACAAGGAAAAAGCAGGCAGGGTTCAAGTGGTAGAGCATTAACCATAACCAGCTAGTTCTTCAAGGGGGAGGGGAAGCACTCACATTCCTGTTTTCATTTTCTCGTTATTGCCCTGTCACTGCAAAACAACTACCGGTAGGTACTCTTTGAGGTCAGGACAATTTGCCATACTGTTATTTCCTCATCCTAATTCTCCTTCTTAGTCTTCAGGAATGACACACATGGTTTCTGAATGACTTCAACACTTTTCATATTTTTACCTCCTCTATTCTTAACCCCTGGTTGACTCTCCTTAGAAGATGTTAACTTGGTGTATTTGATCTTTTCACCTCCTAGGATCACCCAGCCTCTTATTTATTTACCCTTCTAGATGTCTGAAACCTTAGATTTTTTTTTCTCTTTGATTACCGTACCCTGAATCCATTCCTCACTAAAATGCGTCATTCTGTAACTGTTCTCAAAATTTCATATTGAGAACACTGATATATTCTTTTACAGTGTTTGAGAACTAGCAAAGAACTTATACTAGCCTGTTGACCTGTATCCTACGAGCCCTTTGGCCTAAAGGTGGAGATAGCTTGAAACCTCTACTTACTGGCCTGTGAACTGTTCCAATTAATCTCCTGATTGTCTCTACTTCACAAGATGGAGATGACAATAGCACAGACCCTATGGGATTCCAGGGAATAAATGAATTCCTTTGGACGTAGTAGTGCCCTTTGACTGAATGACTGACCCCTAGCTTCCTAAGGGGTCCTTTACCTCAGTTACTTCCTCTTCAGTAAACTCTCCTAACACCACCCCTCACTATAAAGCCCTTCTGTTTGCTTAGTGTCTAGTGCATACTGCTATCATGGTCCTTAGTGAAAGAATTATAACCTATTTCATTCCTGATGTGAGAGCTTAAGGATAATGACTTTTTTCCAGGTACCTGAAACATAAAAGATAGTCATTAGGACTTAAAAAAAATTTTTTAGATAGCCCAAGCTGACCTGGAACCCGTAATCCTCCTGCCTCAGCCTCCAAGTGCTAGTATTACAGGCATGTTCCACCACTTGGATAGTGGACTTTGTGATTGTTCAAAAATGTTCTGCATGGATTTAAAGTACCTAATATTTGATTTTGGTCTTTTCTTTTTAAACCCTAGTACTTAGGATTTCTTAGAGCTTTTTTTTTATAAAAGAATAAAGGAGCCGGGCACTGGTTGCTCATGCCTGTAATCCTGGCTACTAAAGAAGCTAAGATCTGAGGATCACAGTTCAAAACCAGCCCAGGCAGGAAAGACTGTGAGACTCTTATCTCCAATAAACGACTCAGAAAACCGGAAGTGGTGCTGTGGCTCAAGTGGTAGAGTTCTAGCCTTGAGCTGGAGAGCTGAGAGACAGCACCCAAGCCGAGTTCAAGCCCCATGACCAACCAAAATATAAATAAAAAAGGAAAACATTTTCTAGTAAGATATGTTTTGATTATTAACATACAGGCACAGAATGAACTATAGATATTCAAGTGTACTACAGGTTTTGATTTTTAGAAATTAGTTACAGGGGCTGGGAAGGTGGCTCAGTGGTAGAGTGCTTGCCTTGCATGAGCCCCTGAGTTCAATGCCTCAGCACTGCATAAGCAGAAAAAGCTGGAAGTGGTGCTGTGGCTCAAGTGGTAGAGCGCTAGCCTTGAGCTGAAGAGCTGAGGGACAGCGCCCAGGCCCAGAGTTCAGGCCCCACGACTGACAAAAATTAGTGTTATATGTATAGGTACATATATGTGTGTATATATACACATACAAATATAGTATATATATGACATGTACACATATACATACACGCATTTTATGTGTTAGAGATGTAAGTGCTCTCACAGTACTTGCCTAGTATTCACAAGGCCCAGGGGTTGGTCCCTTGCACCATGAAACAACAACAACAAAATGAGTGTATATGCCAGTGATGCACCATAAAAAAAGAAAAATTCATAACAAGAAGACTAGACACAGGGAAGAAATGCAACATACATGGTAGTGAAGTATTTAAAAATAGTCTTTACAAATCAAAAGGGAAAAGGTGAACACCAGGGTGTAAAAATAATCACAGAGGGCTGGGAAGGTGGCTCAGTGGTAGAGCGCTTGCCTTGCACGCATGAGGCCATGGGTTCGATTCCTCAGCACCACATAAGCAAAAAGAAAAAAAATGGAAGTGGCGCTGTGGCTCAAGTGGTAGAGCTGAAGAGCTGAGGGACAACGCTCAGGCCCAGAGTTCAGGCCCCATGACCGGACCCCCCCCCCAAAAAAAAAAGTCACAGAAACAGATTATTTGGTTTGTTAACAGTGTTCAACTTTACTAATGAAATGAAACCCACAACAGAACTTTTTCCTTACTTACCAAATTTGCAAAGCTATTTATTTTCAAATAATTTCAAGATTATAGAAAAGTGGCAAAAAAAGAAGAATCTTATGTAATATTAACCCAGGTTCCCAACTGTTAACATTTTACCTTATTTGCTTTAAAGTAAAAATCAATCTCTCTCTCCCTCTCCTCTCTTCTTTTTGCTGAACGATTTGAGAGTAAACTGCACACATGATGTTTCTTTCTCCTAACTACTCCAGAATATATTTCCTAAAAACAAGCACATTATCACCGGTAGCCAGAGCACAATTAAAACATGAGTTTCTAGTGATATATGAAATTCCCATCTAACATCACCAGGTTTATTCTAGTTTCCCTATTACCATATTTTTGATACCTTTCCCAGTAATAAGCCTGGCTCTCACTGCCCTGTGGTAGAATATGCACTAAAAGTAATTTCAAATTGCTAATCCATACTGTTGCAGACAAACAGTCTTGCCAATTAGCACTCTTCAGTAATTATTTATGGTTCTTATAAACCAGAGAATATTATCTGTCTCATCCTTCACTGTACCTTTTAGCATAGTAACCTTATTAATAAGATATAATTAGGGTCTTTTTTTTGGTGTGTATTTTACATTCTGTTTTTAGTATTTTCCTTCAATCTTGTTATTGCTTCTCTCTCTCTCTCTTTCTTTCTTTCTCTCTTCCTCCCTCCCTCCTTTCCTTCCTTTCTTCCTTTCTCTTTCCTTCCTTCCTTTGATTGCATGATACATTAGCATAATTATTAAAAGGTTTGCTTTTGTTGTATTTTATTTTTTGGTGGTATTGGGCTTAAAACTCAGGGACTCATACCTCTGTCCTTTCTAGGTGATTCTCCCTTTCCTACTTTTTTCCATCCCCTTTCAACCCTTCCTTAATCCACAGCTGAATTTTGTTTACCCTGACATGCTACTAGTTATTCGCTAAAATTAGCCATCAAACTATCATTGCTCTTCTTAGTTCATTGATTATATTTAAAAACCTTAAACATACAAAAATATTCCAAGTACATGTTTTTCAAAGTATGGAAAGAATAATGGAAAGTAACAGTTTTCACCCTACAACCAACTTCCTAAGCTAAGGCTCTCAGCTCCTGGGCTATTTTCCCTAGTATTCATCTCCGTGTTTTTAAACTGTATGTATAGTGAGATAATCTGTAAGTTTGTAGGGAGTACATATTGATCTGTTGTCATGACTCCTGTGACATCTCACATCCTCTTGATGTTATATCACAAGTTTTAGTTGAATCTAGTCAGTATTTATATCATGATGATTACACAAACATTGATCATTGTGTTGAACTACAACATGTTGCACTATACCCATGTTTCTTTGTTC